TCTAAAATTTCATTTGAACTCTGTCTTTCATTAAATCATCATTTAATAACGTTTAATTATAATATCTATATGAATTATAATAAATATATTTTTTCTTTATGAATTTTACTAAATGATCGAAATTAGCTTTATTACCTTAACAAAGGGTTGAGAATGTGTGACACGATCATATTAGTACCCCTTTCTTTCTGTACGTATAATGCTTCGTCAATATTTAATGGTCTTGTATATTATGATCAATGGGAGGAATTAGCATGGTATCAGATATTATTGGTAATATTAGGTATATGCATATTATTATGCGGCGTTCTTGTGTTATCATGGAGACGTAGCGTTGCTCCCGAAGAAGGATTATTATCAGGGGAAGATAGAATGTTATACGGGCAAGATATAGAAGGGTTAACAGAGCTATATGAAGGTGAAGAAACTTTCGCAAGATATGTAGATGATAGTTTTTCTGAAACGAACAGTACTAATGTATGTCAGAATATTGGTGATTCTTCTCGAGAAATTATGAAGTTCCAAGAGATGATACAGGAAGAAGACAATAATAATGCTGATGAAAAGACTTCTCTTTTAGGAAAAAAACATAAATCTAGACGAAACCATAGATCGGTTTCAGTTGGTACATTGCAAGAGGACAATTATGGCATAATATAGCAGTTATTGACTAATTTGTCTTTTTTTTTTTATTTTAGAGTGAATTATATTTAATTTTAGTAACATTTCCATTGATTGGAAAATTTTTTTTTTCAATTTCTGGACTTTTTTTGTTTTTTTTTTTTTTTCTTTAATTGTATAATTCTGTTGATTTTAATATCGAGGGAAAACAAGCACAATAGTCATTTACATACCTGACTAATTACGGGACTAAAAACGCAAAATTGCCGAAAACATCAAAAAATCCTTAACCACCACTAAAAAAGGTGTAATCATGTTATTTGAATAAACGATCTGTGGTGTAATATATTACAGATTCCGGATCTTAAACTCGTTTGGTTTTTTTATGTTTTTATTTTTTATGTAACTGTCATACATATAACTTGAAACTCTATCATTTATTCTTGTCAAAAGCTGATCATTATGAATCAGTATTACATTGTGTCAATGAATTGTATATACATACTCATAACAAAGAATTATTAATCAGCACGTCCACCGTCCACAACAGTCGTCATAGATTAATCCTCAGGAATAATTACCGTTACCCGGTTATCAAAAATACATTAATCGGCAGAAAATTCGAATAAGCAGGAATCTGCTGTGTTACATATTGGCTAAGAAGCGTTTCCGTTAATTTTTAATTAAATATTTATAAATATTAACGTTAAAACTTTTAATAAATCTTGCTGAATGCTTTCTTTTAAAAATGCACTTTACATGTATTCCTTATTTTCAAATGATTAAATATTAAATATATACAATAAGACAACGATTATTATTATTTTTTTTTTCCCACTGCTAACCCAACCAGACAAGAATATTGATATATTTAAGTTGTCGACATTCAATATATAATGGGACCTCCGTGCGTTAATCTCTACGTAACAACTCTCAGAACTTGTAATATTGATCCTCACTAATAATGCATATACCAATAAATAATGTAATAAAATACGAAAATCTTCTGTTACCATATATAGAAATGGGATAAATTAGCATTGATGGAACGGTAAAATGTTATCCCTCTGCTATTCATCGTTGAATCAGTGCACTTTAGTTCTCCTTAAACCATTTTTGAATTAATATTAATTTGTCGTTATATCTATCCTACCAATCTGCATTATTTGAAAGAAAGTGTTACATACACAGAAGTCTAGCCTTCGATAATCCTAATAATTATAAACGCATATTTATACGTACACATATTCCATGACCAAAAGATTCTTACCTATATACGTACAGTATATGACAGCTACCGGATAATTCTAAAAGAGGTGATATTACTAAAACTGGACATTTTTTGGCCGAAATCCTATTTTTTTGGCCCAAACTTTTCTAAATTCTGGCCAAAATTATATTTTTATTTTTATTTTGACCAGAATTTAGAAAAGTTGGGCCAAAAAAAAAAAGTCCGGTTTAAATTTTTTAGAATTATCCGGGTCCTAGCTATAACCTTCCAGCGCGTGCGTACATACATAGGTACGTACGTACTTAAATATAGGTATACTACGTGCGTATCAGGTATACTGATAGGTATTTTTGACATAGAAAGAATATTAATACTGCATATAATATTTAATGAAAAATGGAAACCAAAGAAAGAAAAGAAAGAAAAGTAAGAAAAGAGAATTACAAATTTTACTGATTATCAAATTTAAATAGATAATCAATGACCTATATAACTTTTGGCTTCGTCATTCACGTGAGAATTCATAACGCGCCTGACCAACGAAAGTGTACACTCAGGTGGTACTTTGAATGAGCGGCACGTGTTACGGCCCTATTATACTAAAATGACTTAAATGTCTAAAATGGTAATACACGCTTTGTGATATCGAATATAAAACGAGCTCGGTTCTTAGACCCTGTTTCCATATTACCTTTTTTTTAAAAAAAGCGAAAAACCTTACTTAAGGGAACTATTAGTAGGCATGGATTACTCTATACGCATATCTAATTTAAATCATTCAACGAGTCATTTTGGAAGTCTTAATTCAACACCTGCTCTTCCACCAAATAACACCGGACGAAAAAGACCTCGTAGTAATAGTATGAACAAAAGTGACCAAACGCAAGTTTGTATTTATTATATTTCGTTGGTAAACGATTTATTTTGTGGTTGAACCTGATAAGTATATTTTATAACTGTGCTTTGTGCTTCTTTCTTAGAAAACAGCACGACTATTAAGTCCGCCACGGCAACGTGGTTCTTCTTCGACTTCACTTCCGAGTCCTCCATTAGCTTGTAATGAAGTTCGTCTTAGTCGGTCGAATTCTCTTATCTGCGAGCTAAGTTGTAAGACTCATCTCTTAGCTGTTCAAGACTTTGAGCCTTCGGACCTCATGGACTGTGATAATACTCAATTCGATGAAATTTTGGATGCTGAAATGGTATTGAACTTAGCGTGTTTTTTTTGCAATAAAAGCTTATTCGAATAAATGATCTCTTACAATGTTACCTTCAGAATCAACGACATGAGACGAACTCCACACGAACGCAACGTCATCATCATAGACAAACAAATAAGCCTTGTGTAGTTTATACGATGGGGCGTAGAACGGATTGCGAAAGATGCCTTCTGCGCATTCCTGGTCATTTTGCTCATGTTATCAATCAATGATTGTCATTATGTCGTGTTTAGGGTTCATCATTTAAGGGATTAATCAAGAAATTCATTATTGATGAAGTCAACTATGTTGTTTTAATGAACAAACTTTTCATACCAAATTAGTCTAAGAATTAAAGGTTTTCGATGGCCTTAAACATGTTGATAGATTTAAAGCCTATTTGTGTTCTATGACTGTTAATATTCAAAATGGATCATTAGAAAGTTGAAATCTCATCTTTGTGCTTCCTTGAAGCATGAATGAGTTCACATATAAATAAATATACAGTAGACATGTAATCAATTAACTAAATAAGGGGGAACCGGATTTATTCCCCTATAGTAACAACTAATTAGCATAGTGTTATTAAGAATTACCTTTCATATTTCTTTTTTCTCGGTATGTATTGAAAAATAATATCCTGATTTTTTTTTTCTCAATACGCATAAACGTAACAAGAAAGTATTATATAATTCTTTAACATAGCAGGCAAGGTTGAAAACAAACCCAATGCTGCAATGGAGAACTCCAATGGACCTCAATGGAACTCAATGGATACTTACCTATTGAATTCCATTCAGGCATCCATTAGCTTCCATTTTTTGTCGACCAATTTTACCGACCCATTTTTCAATTTCCTTATTTGGGTGATCTACATAAATTAACCAATCAAATTGGGTGATC